ATGAGTAGTTTTACATAACTAATCATAGCTCCTAAAATATTATAGGTAGAGGGCTACACTTTTTTTTATCTTGTAGAAGAGAGATGGGGCTACACATTGATTTATATTTGTTGTGTTTGACTCTTATTTAAAATTTTTATTATAAATATGCAAAATGCCTATCGTTTTACCCCGGTCTCCCCTAGAGGATATGATAAATTTTATAATAATATCTTTTTAAATTCAAATAAGGCACTGAAAAATTTAATTTTTTAATGCATTTTATTAAGTAATGCAATCATTTTAATAAGAAATATGGTAAATGATCATGTTAGTAGACTGGACCAGTTTGGGTATGTTGGGTGTAAGATTTGTTTGAATGTTAGAACAAAGCTTTAAATGGGCCTAATAGTGGCTAAAAATAAAACCAAAAATGGTAACCCTCATAAAAAATACATTCAAAAATTGATCAAAAATTTCTAACAAGAAAGAAAGTTTCAATTTTTATTTCTTTATTACTTTTAAAATTTTTATTATGAAAAATTAACATAAAATAAATAACAAGCTTCATATTTATGAATTATTTTATATCTTTTTCAATAACAATCAACCTCTTTTAATAACAACTCATTCGTGCGAGCTGAAAACTCTAAAATTAATAAATACACTTCCCTAACCAATTGCAATCTCATACCAATCGTATCCGACACAACCGGGTTTTTGGCAATCATACTCTAACCTTCTTCAAATCCCTTGGTAAAAAAAATTTGTACCATCACTGGTGACTCATAGTAAGGCTTCTATCTCAGACAGCGCATATCTATTGATATATGCAGATCTAATTGCATTGCCATTCACGGCTCCCTTTCTTGACCTCCTCCTACCCAACACAATTAATTATACTAATTTTTTTTAACCGTTTTTTATATAGATTTTAATTTACAAATAGTTTACATGATATTTTTAATATATATTTTTAAATTAATTATATATGTTTTACTTTTAACGTTCAATGTATTATTTTAAAATTGTGATATAGTTTTATATAAATCTATGATGAAAATAAAATAAAAATTAATTTAAAAAAAAAAAATTAAAAATTGCCATTGGTGGAATGAGTATTGGTCTTACCACATTGGTTTAATTAAAAATGGTATTGGTGTATTTCTAATAGTGTTGTTAAAAACCTTGTATTAGAATTTTAAAAAAAAATGGCTCTAATATTTTTATCTCTCTTGATTTTGTTAAAACATTATAGAAAGCTTTGGCAAAATTCCTCAGACTTAAGTAATATTTGTTTGGCTAAAATATTGATTTAGCCATTTTTTAAAAATCATCTAGATTGAGATTTTTAACAACATTGATCTCAAGTCATAGATGATTTAAATAATGGGCTTCTATAAATTGAGGGAATGACTAAAATACGCGTCCCCGAAAACTACGCGTCCCTACGCGTCCCCAGTCAAAACGACTTATTTTTATTATTATTAATAGGAAATCTTATTAAGCTTTATAAGATGAGTTAGAAAATGTTTTTTTTAATTTAAAAAAAATACGGCAACTATATAAAATTTACAAAAATTTATTTTTTAAAAAAATAAACTACGCGTCCCTACGCGTCCCCGGTCAAAATACAGTTTTTTTAAAAAAATCAAAACGGATTCATATTTAGCTTATTAAAAGAATACAGAATATGTAAATATTATATTTTAAACTATTTTATAACTTAGTGATTTTTTCAAAAAACACTTTTTTTTTTCAAAAACACTACGCGTCCCCGGTCAAAAAACCTTTTTTTTAAAAAAATAATAGCAGATTCATGTTTAACTTTTTAAGGAGATTCAGAAAATGGTATTAATAAAAAAAAAAGGCTAAACTACGCGTCCCCCGGTCAAAATACACTTTTTTTAAAAAAATCAAAACGGATTCATATTTAGCTCATTAAAAGAATACAGAATATGTAAATATTATATATTAAACTATTTTATAACTTAGTGATTTTTTCAAAAAACACTTTTTTTTTCAAAAACACTACGCGTCCCCGGTCAAAAAACCGTTTTTTTTAAAAAATAAAAGCAGATTCATGTTTAGCTTTTTAAGGAGATTCAGAAAATGGTATTAATAAAAAAAAATTTAAAAAGAAATTTTTTCCAAAAAAATTTTTTTTGGCTAAACTACGCGTCCCCGGTCAAAATACATTTTTTTAAAAAAATCAAAACGGATTCATATTTAGCTCATTAAAAGAATACAGAATATGTAAATATTTTATTTTAAACTATTTTATAACTTAGTGATTTTTTCAAAAAACACTTTTTTTTCAAAAACACTACGCGTCCCCGGTCAAAAAACCGTTTTTTTTAAAAAATAAAAGCAGATTCATGTTTAGCTTTTTAAGGAGATTCAGAAAATGGTATTAATAAAAAAAAATTTAAAAAGAAATTTTTTCCAAAAAAAATTTTTTTTTTTTTATAAAATTTATTTAATTTAATCAGAATGACGGGGTTGATGGGTAATTACTAATTAGTTAGGTGTATACGATACTAAATATGCTTTAATAATATATTTTATAAAAATATTAATATTTAGGAGAAAAGGAGGTAAAAATGTTGCAATGTAAGGGTTTAGAAATATCATAATTTACATTTATGATAGAAATCAACTTGGGTAAAATTTAAAATAGATATCTTTTAAAATTTTTTAATTTTAAATATGGGCTAGACATTGGCTTTTTTAAATATTTTATTTGAATTCTCAACTACCAAAATTATTCTGAATCTCCTTGAAAAGCTAAACATGAATCTGCTTTTATTTTTTTAAAAAAACGGTTTTTTGACCGGGGACGCGTAGTGTTTTCGAAAAAAGTGTTTTTTGAAAAAATCACTAAGTTATAAAATAGTTTAAAATATAATATTTACATATTCTGTATTCTTTCAATGAGCTAAATATGAATCCGTTTTGATTTTTTTAAAAAAACTGTATTTTGGCCGGGGACGCGTAGTTTAGCCAAAAAAAAAATTTTTCGAAAAATTTTTTTTTTTAATTTTTTTTATTAATACCATTTTCTGAATTTCCTTGAAAAGCTAAACATGAATCTGCTTTTATTTTTTTAAAAAAAAAGTTTTTTGACCGGGGACGCGTAGTGTTTTTGAAAAAAAAGTGTTTTTTGAAAAAATCACTAAGTTATAAAATAGTTTAATATATAATATTTACATATTCTGTATTCTTTTAATGAGCTAAATATGAATCCGTTTTGATTTTTTTAAAAAAAGTGTATTTTGACCGGGGACGCGTAGTTTAGCCAAAAAAAAATTTTTTTGGAAAAAATTTTTTAAAAAATTTTTTTTTATTAATACCATTTTCTGAATCTCCTTAAAAAGCTAAACATGAATCTGCTTTTATTTTTTAAAAAAAACGGTTTTTTGACCGGGGACGCGTAGTGTTTTTGAAAAAAAAAGTGTTTTTTGAAAAAATCACTAAGTTATAAAATAGTTTAAAATAAAATATTTACATATTCTGTATTCTTTTAATGAGCTAAATATGAATCCGTTTTGATTTTTTTAAAAAAGTGTATTTTGACCGGGGACGCGTAGTGTTTTTGAAAAAAAAAGTGTTTTTTGAAAAAATCACTAAGTTATAAAATAGTTTAATATATAATATTTACATATTCTGTATTCTTTTAATGAGCTAAATATGAATCCGTTTTGATTTTTTTAAAAAAAGTGTATTTTGACCGGGAACGCGTAGTTTAGCCAAAAAAAAATTTTTTTGGAAAAAATTTTTTTTAAAATTTTTTTTTATTAATACCATTTTCTGAATCTCCTTAAAAAGTTAAACATGAATCTGCTATTATTTTTTAAAAAAAAAGGTTTTTTGACCGGGGACGCGTAGTGTTTTTGAAAAAAAAAGTGTTTTTTGAAAAAATCACTAAGTTATAAAATAGTTTAAAATATAATATTTACATATTCTGTATTCTTTTAATAAGCTAAATATGAATCCGTTTTGATTTTTTAAAAAAAACTGTATTTTGACCGGGGACGCGTAGTTTATTTTTTTAAAAAATAAATTTTTGTAAATTTTATATAGTTACCGTATTTTTTTTAAATTAAAAAAAACATTTTCTAACTCATCTTATAAAGCTTAATAAGATTTCCTATTAATATTAATAAAAATAAATCGTTTTGACCGGGGACGCGTAGGGACGCGTAGTTTTCGGGGACGCGTATTTTAGTCATTCCCTAAATTGACTATTTTAAATGATTTCCTAACCAAGAATCAACATTTGAATATTATAAAAATATTAAAATTTAGATCATGGTAATGGCAATAAGTATAGAAAACTGAGAAAGGGATTAGGCAGGATTACTTTTCTAAATGGTTATTAAGCAAAAACAATATTTTAGATTTATAATATAATAAACAAAGAAAATATATTAAATCAAAAAATGTATTCTTAAGGATTCTTTTTAAGCATTACAAATTTAGTGTAATAAAATAAAGTTCAAGGTTTAAAAAATGAAGTTATATTAAGGATAACCATTTATCTAAGTTTTTTAAATTAATTAGGGTTATAATATGACTTATAAAAATATAGCAATGTTAACCAATTTCTTTAAATTCCAAAAGAGAGAACTATTTAGACCTTTAAATAAAGCATATCAGTTTGTGTTTGTCTTATACAAATTACAATACTTGAAATGTATTATAAGATATCTGTACATCAATTTTATTTGCCAATTTAAGACTAATTTATTTTTATAAATGAAATTATTTTAAAAATTTATTGCAATTAAACTTATATCTTATAAATAAAAAAAAATTCTATCCAATAAGAGATATTTGGACCATAAAATCCTGATACTTAATTATAAAGTTAAAATATTACTTGGACCATATCTTAATTTAACAATATTATATCACTTAGAACAGACAACTAAATCAATATATAAATGAGTTTCAACTACAAATGGGAAACCAAAGAGATTAATTAGTATATTTAATCAAGGTATAATATTAATTTTTACCAAATATAGAATAGAAGTTTATTTGTTGATGCTTCAGGGGCGCCATGTCTTTCAACTTTGTAATCAAAATCATAAATAGCATATCTACAATCACCTTGGCTTTCAGCCTCTTTAAGATCTTTAAGGAATTCATCATAGGTGGCATTAGCTTCAGCTTTCTTTAAAACTTTAATTTTCCTATCATCCTCTGACATCCCCAATATCACATATTTATTATGTTTTTTTAATTTCATACCCTCATACACTTTTAAACACTCATCATCTACTGCTACGCCTGATGACTTTAAAATATATTTAATGTTCAAATAATGAGATAAATTTAATAATATTATTTGAAAAAAAAAATTTACCATATTATTTTAGAATTATAAAGTATCCAAATTATAAACCACCGGAAATTTATTATGATATTCTTTTATATTATTTCACACGCTTACCATAAATGGATATACAAACCCTTGATCAAATATAATCCCTCTAGGAGTTAAGTATAAGAAATATTATGTGATTAAAAATGCTTTATTTATATGATTAACAAAGAGTTATAAATATAATATATTTATATTATAGGATTTTTAATTTAAAAAAAACCCCCTCATTCCTATTTATTTTAAATTATTATAAGCTTATATATAAACCATTATCTAATTTCTATTAATAATATTATTAGACCAAATTTGGGCAGTAACAAAAAAGGTAAACTATAAAGTTTCTTTATTCAAAGATTAATAGACTTATATATATATATACCTTATCTTATGTCATGTAGATGTGTTCTATTTTTTATTCTAAAATAAATTCAAATTTTTTTTTCGAGAAATCATTTTTCAAAATTTAATGATTTTTAATTTTAATACTTCCATTTTCTCCGTAATAACTTATTTTTATCTATATCAATTTTAGAAGGTGATATGATATATATCAGGGGCGTCGCTAGCCTTTACTATCTCAGGGGGGCTAAACTAAAAAAAAATATGGGAGGCTTCGCCCTCCACGCCTCCCAATTTGCGGGCCTTGCCGGGTTTTATATTAGTATATTATACTTTTTTAAAATTTTTTAAAATTTTTTAACTCTGAACAATTATTCTGAATTTCATATTTTGTCATTTATTACATTATGCATACAAAATAAACTGGCATATAAATAATTAAAACAATACAAGACAATTTCAAAAATTATACTTTTTAATACAAATATATTTATTACAATATAAAATATTACCGATTGCTGATATAAAAAAATTTGCATCTAAAGAAATACAAGTGATAAAAAATATTTTTTATTCATATATATGCCTCAATTGATAATAGTTTTTAAAAACCACATAATGCAATAATATAATTCTTAGCAACTTACATTGACAAAAGGTTATAAAACTAATATAACTCTCTGTTACCATTTTAGACAATGTTTTATAGAATGGACTAATTAAGAAAAATTTATAGGCCTAAACCAAATCAACAATTCTTGAAGAAGAGAGTATAAACGACCAATCCAAATCATAAAACTATATGGGGGTTAAAGCTTCCACATGATGGAAGCTAGATATGTAATCAAAAAAATTAATGTGAGATATTAAATTTCTAAAAGATTATCTTCCATTTTAAATGATATATAAACGACTACACATTGACCATTATTATTTGTCTAAAATATGTTATCATATGCTCTCAGCAGCTGTAGTAATAATCTTAAATTACATAGCAACACAAATAATAGATGCTGGTTAATTTGCAGTAATAGCCATGACACTCACGATCTAAACTAATGTCAGAATTTATTATGTTGAATAAACTGATAAAATAAATACACTAAAATCTTTGGAAGATATAATTATACAAATATATTGAAGCCTGAGTTATTTACATGGCAAGGATGCCATATTAGAAATGAAATATTTTCTTACTATAAAAAAAGGACCAGAATGATATGATGAAACAATTAAGATTTTATATATTGTCGCAGCACCTCTAGTTGGTATATTATATCTTAAAAGAATAGTGGTTTGTAATAATATCAAAAATATACTTTGTATTAAAAATTTAACTCAAAAAACAGTTTTTCGAAAAAGAAAAAAATAACTTTCCTAAAAACAAAAGCGAAGAAAAGATATCAAATTTATTACATCTATTGTAGGATGAATAAAATATTTAATTTTTTAAATTATTTATAACTAGATGGCGTTAAATACTTAAATGCAAATTGTTACTGTATTTATTATCATATGCATTTATTAGTAAAATTCATTATAATATTTATTGTAACTGTCAAATACGTCTATAAAAGTGGCATTTTATCTAATATTTTATAAACAACTGTATATAATAGAGGATTATAAACTATATGTCTAATTACTTACTTTTTATAAAGAAATCTCTTATAATTATTTGGAACTTGAAAATATTTTTAGGAATAGGTATGATAATAAAAATTAAAAATAAATATGCAGTTGATTAGTCATTTTGAACTCGGCTAATTACAATATTAATTATTTTAGTTTTCAATTAATAAATGATTATATTTATTTAATTAGGATTGTATAATAATTTAAATAATAATAGTCAATTAAGCTTCAACTGTTAATGGTAAATTAATATTTAGTAAGTGATATTGATATTCTATTTTTAACATAAAATTTGATTGCAAGCTGACATAGTGAAAATATAATTTATAAGTATTAATCTAATCTAATATTTAAAATAATATGATAAATATTTAGACAGTCTTATTAATTTTTAAATAATAAAATTAAATCTACATATTACTTAATAGAATTATAACAGAAATCATTCAGGGGACAATCAAAAAAAATTATTTTTAGTTCAAGGGGTCAACTCAAGATTCCATTTTAAAAAAATTTATTGCTTCACACGCTATTCAATTTTTTCAGGTGGCTCGAGCCCCTGCGTTACCCCCCCCCCCCTAGTGACGCCACTGTATTTATGAATTTTGTAGTGTATATAATAATTTTTTATGATAAATGATAATTTTATAATATGTTATATAATAGATATAAATTGCTTATCATGTTTTAAATCAATTTTTGAAACTGAAATATTGGGAATTTTGTGGCAGGCGCGTAATTATGCTCACCTATTTGCCTGCTCTCGTAATTATCATTTTAAGGTAATAAAAATTTCCCCCTACACAGTCCTCACTTCCAAAAATCTAAACAATATATTACAAATTTGATAGAGAAATTGGTAAACCTTAATTGCTTTAATAGTTTTAACCTTATTGCACTTTTGAATTTTAATATTTCTTGATTCTATACTATGATTTCACACTCAAATTTTAGTTTTCAATTTTATTTTACATACATGTATTGTTGTTCATTTAACCACTCAAAATGTACTCCCTTTTATAATAATTTATATAAAGGTAATGCAATCTTTGCAAAATCATCCAAAAATCTATGATAATAATTTATCTCATCCACAAATGATTGCAATTCCGCTTTATTCGTTAACGGTTTCATATTTGCTATATTTTTCAAATTTTATCGAGAGGTCACCTCCATTCCAATAATTTGATGTCCTAAATAGATAACTTCTGTTACCCCAAGATGACTTTTTTCTTTACTGGCCCTCAGACCATCTCAAATTTGTTTGAAAACCTCTTCTAAATGTTGATTATGTTGTTCCGGTGTTACAACAGTAATCAACACATTATCCATATAACAAAAGACTCCCTCAAGGCCCTATAAAACTGATGCCATAGTACGCTGAAAATCGGCGCTAACACACTTAATCCAAATGGTAACCTACAAAAGGCAAATTATCCTTTAGGAGTCGTTATAGTAAACAATTTTTGAATTTCTTCTTTTAAATGTAACTGTAGATAAGCAGAAGAAAAATCAACTTTGGAAAAATATTTGGCACCTTTAAATTGGCCAGAATTTTTTCAATCCTATAAAATAGATATTTTATCTCCATTACCCATCGATTTATGGTTACACGAAAATCAGCATACAGCCTCAATTTTTCATTTGACTTTTTAACTGAAACCGATGGTGTGGCCCATTCGCTATTCAATTGGAATAATAATTCCATCTTTTATTCTTTTGTCCAATTCGTCTTCTATTTCCTTTTTCCATTCAAAAAGATCTCTTCGACATACAAAAAAAATGAGTGAAAAGCCCTCTTTAAGTTTTCTACTTGATAATCATTTAAACGTCCTAACATTTCTTCAAAAATTATACCTATGATTACTTTTATGTAATTCATTGATTTCAAATTATATCGATTGATCTTTATCAATTTCACTATTTATTCTATTATATTACTTGATTCGGTCAATAATTTTAAGGGATATTCAAGAAAATTATTATTAACGGCAGGCTTGTTTCTTTCGTTCAATAAATTAGACATTTCTCTTTCTAATTTCATTTCGGATGATATCCGCAATCATAGGCGTAGCCAAGGGGGAGGGGGCAAGGGGAAATCCCCCCCTTCAGAAATTTATCATTTTTTGTAAATATCATTTTTAGCTAATAAAAAATATCCCTCTTAGTCCTTCCCCCACTCCCTGACCCTCAAATATGTATGCATATATCTTAAATAATAATTTAAAAGAAGGAATGTAAAAGTTGATATTTTTTTATAAAAATATTTATCATAATTTATAGATTTTTGGGGAAATAAATTTATAAATATATAAAATGAAATAAAAATGTTTTTTAATAAATGGAATATAAGCCAAAGATAAGTCTTAAGGCAGAAGTGAAATGTATTATAATTATTAATAATAGATCCATAAAATTACTAAATAATATAATATATCAAATATAATTTTTTATAAAGTGAGTAATTTTAATTTATTTGTCTTAATAAAAGTAAAATACAATAATAAAACTATTGATAAAATTAAATCATAATTAAAAAAATATTAAAGCACAATACAAACAGTGGAATATTATATGTCGTAGATTTACAGTATATCTAATTATCAAATGACAATCAAGTAATTTTTACCAATATAGCGAATTATATATTTTACAGAAAACTATAAAATATTGATAAGGACATCAGAAAATATCTATAAAAGACATTGTGGGATGAATAATATGAAGATTAAATTTAAATATCATTTTTACTTAAAATAAATAGAAGTGTTTTATTAAATAAAAGTAAGTAAAAGTATATTTAATACAAAATATCACGTATATATATATCATGAATTCAATCCTTTAGGTTATATAATTTACAAACGAAAAGTTAATATTATATTCAATTTAAATTCAATTTATATTACAATGGCGTTAAATAATTTAATGCAAATTGTTGCTATATTTAATAACAAGAGCATTGATTAGTAAAATTTGTTAAATTATTAACTGTAATATATTCTCTAACTGTCAAATATGTCTGTAAGAGTGGAATTTTACCTAGTATTTTATAACTAATTCTATATAATAGAGTAAAATCAACTATATATCTACTTACTTTTTATAAATAAATTTCTTATAATTGTTTGGAATAAATTATTACCATGCTTTTATATTAAGGTATATACAATACAAGTAATTTATTATATTTTTATTTTATATAAACTAATAAAAATATATTTCATATTTGTTTCAGGCTTATTTTTTTTATTAAAATTTGTAAAAATATTTTATGACTATATATAGACTAAAGTAACCCGGCCGAAGGCCCTCCCGAAAGGGGGTCTGGGGGTGAAGCCCACAGCAATTTTTTAATCCCCCCCCCTTATGAAATTCCTGGCTACGCCTATGTCCGCAATTATTTTTCTTTCAGCATTATCTTTAGTCAATTCGCTATCAATAATAAAAAAAATTCCAATAAATATTACGAGCTCCGATTTTGGTAATCCAATCCCATCCCATAATAATAGTCTCTACATTTTTTCCTACTACCCATGAATTCAATCTTATGGTAGTATCATTGAAAATAGCATCTCATTGAGATTTACCCAAAACTTCAATTTATAAACCAACAAACTATTTTAAACACATATTTTCTTTTTCAATAATGCCATTAGGACAATATTTATAAAAATTCTCACGAGATATTATAAAAATGCTAGCTCCGGTATCGAACAAGATCATAGGACAAGGACATAGTTCAATTATTTTTTAATCATTAAAATCTCACAGGTTTTAATCGGGTGATTAACATTTATCCTATCTGAAATATCTATTTCATTAGAATCTAAAATTTTGCATAAATTCAACTCGGAATTTAGAGGCTTTTTAATAATATTGATATGTTTTATAATTTAACAATGTCACTAGAATATTTTTCCCAATAAAATTATTAATATCCTTTTTATTTGGATATGACAATACCCTTAGGATATTTTTCCCATTTAAAAGCATTATAACTCCTTTTATTCGGACTATAATAATAACTTACAATTTTAATTTTATCATCATGATAAAAAAAAATTTCTATTAAAATCATTCATTTCATAAGTAATATATCTTATTTTATCATTATTATTTACTTTCTTAAAATTTTGATTTTTTTCTTACATTCGAATTTTCCATTATTAATTTTTTTAACGGAAAACCTTCACAAAATTTTGTTCTCTAACCATACAGGTTTCAACCTTATGTCTCTATAGCCACAACGGTTGCACGTAATATTGTTTCCAATATTCTTCTTCACATTAAATTTTTCACTAAATTTTTGTCCCTTGAAAAATCAATTTTTTCATTTGGACCATTTTTGCCACATATTTGGCTTTTATCACAATTATTCTTCATATTAATCAATTCATATATATAACGATATATACATTTGTTTACTTCTTTTATTTCTTTAAATTCTTGGAGGATCACCACTGATCTCTCCACACATTCCTGATTATTGCATAGATTATTCGACACCGGAGTGTATTTCTTTAAATTACTATACACCTTTGTCACAACAAAGGTACATTTCTTAATTAAAAGTTTCAATGTAATACTTATTATATATATAATAAAAAATAATCCTATTTTAAATGATTGCGAAGGTTTTATACAAACTTTTATAATTAAGGTCCTTAATAAAAATTTTGTTAAAAAGATGAGGCTCATTATACTGATCAAAATACAGGCCCAATTCATATTATTAAAATTTACTTTACCTAAAAATTACTTTGTTAAAAAATTTTTAAAAAAATATTTATATATAAAATTTTTTTTATCTTTAAACCGAATTAATCTAAATCCTGTAGTCACGAGCAACAATTTAATAGTTCTAACTTTACTTAACACTTTTAATATTTCTTAATTCTAGTATAAAAAAAATATTTTAACTTTTATAATTAACTACAACTAGTAATAAATTAAACAAAAATTAGAAATAAATTCATCAAAAACAAGGACAGTAACATTTCTAATATAGATTTATAATTAAGAATTTTTAGAAAAAAGCATTTTTATAAAAAAAAGTGAAAACCCAGGACTATTTTTATAAATTTCAAATAAAGCTAATGGCCTACAATACGTGTACCTATAGATCTCCAATATTTATGGGAAGAAATAATAATGCCCCCCCCCCCACCCTCCAACATAATCCCTGATACGCTTATGTTTTGTAGTGTAGGTAATAATATAATATATGATATTAAAAACTATACGAATAAATAAAGCATTTAAAATATTAATTTTTTAGTTTTGCTTGTAATTTATACATTTTTCCTCAAAAATGGCTGCACAGTTTGGAGGACGCCCATGAAAAATAATTTTCTAAAAAAGTTTTATACCAGAGTAAATAGAACCTAAATATTTAATAAATTGGGATTTGTGACTTAAATTTGACTTTTACCTTCTTGCCCGAAAAGGTCTGCCATTTTATGTCGTTGTAAATAGTAAAAACACGACTTTTACTTAATCCTAGATAAGGCTCAAATTGTAAAAGTTAGAAAGTATCGTTTTTTAATTTTTTGTAATCTAATAATAAGGCCATCAATTTAAGAAACACGCTGTGCCCATATTTTTTCTTGAAAAAAATTAGATTGGGGACGCTAATTTTTTAAAATAAACCTAGTTTACAATAAATATTTTTGGCGATTTTTAATAATTTTGAAAGTACCAATAATTATCTTATTCTATGTTATATCCTTGTTTAAATTTTATAAAAGTTTAAAAATAATGTATGACAATTGTCAGTTTTCTATGTTATATCTAAAATAGCAAAAAAGTTTAAAATAAGGATTATGATAATTGTAACTTTTCTATGGTACATCTATATTGAAATTTTAATTAATCATGTTTTCAAAATATATATTTATACCCGTTTGTGTAAAAAAAATTCAAAAAAGTTTAAAAAAGTTAAAATTTTGACAATTGTCTTTTCTGTTGTACATCTTCATTGAAATTTTAATTTAAGATGTTAACAAAATAAAAAAATCTTTTTTAAAGAATTTTTTGTACAACTCTGAATTTTAGTACGCGTCAAATTTTGTGACTATTTTCGTCCCGTTCAAGTCCCGTACTCTAATTATTATTGACCTCAAATATAGCATTATTTGTCAGCAAAATTATAAAACCAATATTTAAATGATAACTATGAACGCGAATTTTAAGGTTGAATTAAATAAATAGAATAAAACTAATATTCAAGTTATGATTGTTAACACGAATTTAAAAAGTAGAATTACATAAGCTAAATAATCAGTATTTAAAAATCATTATCCTTCCCCTGTGAAACACTTTTGTGCTATTCGGTTCTATCGAATAATAAATCTCATGTATGTAGGGATTAATTTTAGAAGAATAAAAATATTTTTATCTGGGGATTTAACTCGTGGCTTTCCGCATCTTTGTTGTGATGTGTATCTCCTACCCATTTACTTGCAAAAACCAGGATTCATTGTGCATATAACAATTATTTTTTACTATTATTAAATAATCAATAGCGTCACTGGGGGGGGGGGGGGGTTGACGCGTAGGGGCTCAACTCCCCTTGAAGAACCCCCTCAAAATTTTTGAATTATCTTTTATACCACTAAAAAAAGGTAATTTTGAAAATAATTCAAAAAATATGTTGAGCCCCCCTGAGATAGTAAAGGCTAGTGGCGCCCTTGTTAAATTTAGTAATAAATAAAAGAATATATTTTATTCTTCACATTTAATTTATTATAATTCATAACAATTTTCAAATATTATTAGCATTTTTCTTGTTTCATATAATATACTTTACTTTTTATTTCTTATAAGGTATGATTTTTGATGTTTAATATTTGATTGAACGTATTTGAATGGCATACGCATTAATTTCAGATATTAAACAGCTGAGAAATATAATAAACAAATTTCCATAAAAGAATCATATGTTTAATTTTTAAATAATTTCCCGGTTGATAATTTTGAAAATTATAAATGTAATGATATGATTGGTAAAAAAATATCAAGGGTGCCTTGTTGAGTCATCAACGATCAATGTATTATTATTTTATTAATTATTTAGAATAAAATTTCTTTTAAATGCAACCAAGTATTAGGGAGCATCCATTTGATCATAAAAATGATGCAGAAAAGCTTAGAAAGGCAATGAAAGGATTTGGTATTATAATATTTTAAAACTATAATTTGAATGATAATATAGGAACTGACGAAGATACCTTAATTGATATAATTACTAAGAGAACAAATATACAGAGACAACAAATTGCCCAAATTTATAAAGGATTATATAACAAGGTTATAAATATTTTAATATAGAATACTCAACCTAACTTTTTTAATATAATCCTGATAAGATTTATAATTTTGTTTAGGAAATAGTTATAATTTAATTCAAAAAGTTATATTAATCAACAAAGCTTTTAAATTTTATATATTTTTTTCCCCATATTTATAATATATATAAAAATCTATATTGTTTTAAACATTTTCATTTATTGTTGTTAATACTAATTAATAACCTTAAAATTTTCTAAATATCTCAACTATTTATAATTAAAAATCTTGATTATTTATAGAATGCAAAAATATTTTTGAAGTAAATTAAATAAGATGAGACCTATGGATCATTTAATATAATCTTGTTTGTATAATAATATTATTTTTTTTAATGGCTGATTAACTAGAATCACTTGAATAAATATTTTTTGAAGGATTTGTATCAAGAAATCAAAAGTGAAGTTTCTGGAAAATTAGAAAAGGTATTGCTAGCACTTCTTACACCACCTGATGTATATGATGCTCAATGTCTGAATGATGCTATAAAAGTACAATAATGGCATTTACAATTAGAGACTTGTAAAAAACTATTTTTTGACCAGATCCAACCAATTAGGGAGAAAAACATTATCCCACATTTACAATTAGAGACTTGTAAGAAACTACTTTTTTGACCATATCCAACCAATTAGGGAGAAAAATATTATCCCAATTTTCAACCCAATATATATTTTTAATTCTAAACCTGATAACCCAAGTATAAAATTAATTCAGAGATTTAAATACTTCTCAAAATAAAAAAATCTTTTTTGAGATTGCTCAAAGGAGTGTTTATCAAACTTTACCTAAAATTCCAAATCTTTTTTATAAATTTTTTTTTGATATTTGGAACTTTAGGGGTAAAATTTTTATTAGCTTAATGATATTTACAAGAAATTTGAGATCCCCCCCTGCCTGATTGACCATATTCAAAAAAAATATAACAAGTTTAATTTTTAAAAAGTGAATTTCTAAAAAAATTTAAATTATTACATAATATTTTTAAAAATAATTATCATTTATTCATATATTTTTTTTATAATATTTTTGCACGTTTTAATAGAAAAAAAAATTAGTAAGAACGAGTTTATGAAAATTGAAGGGATAGTTAAAAAAATAGACCTTTTATAAGTTCAATTTTAAAATAAATTCAATGAAACTAAATGTCTTCCACTGTCTATTTAATATGAATTATAATTTAATAATTCGAATTTTATTTTAAAAAAGGAGAACGTTCCGAAATATAATATAAATTTTTTTATGCTGAAATACATTTCCGGTAAAATCAGATTTTCAAATTTAAAAACGCGCTCAAAAAATGATTTAAAGTTGAAAAAATAACACATTGACGCCAACATATACAAATTAAATAAAATGCGACTTTATACGAATATTTATTAGATTATGGAGGTAAATATACTTTTATTTAAGCAGGCAATATATGAATAAATACACATAATTTTTAATTTTCTTGGATATTATAATATTTAAACTCAAATTATAAAAAAAAATTCGGGCTCGGGTCGGGTCAAAAAATTTAAAAATTGGACTCGGGCCGCAAATAAATCACTTTGCAGACCTCTATGGGGTGGACGTTAATATTTGATAATTATCTTTTTGCTGCTATAATCTGACGAAAATTGTAATCTTTTTACCCATAACAGTTACCCCAAGGTGATATATTATACAAATCGTTATTGCATGACTTCTAGTTAATTTATAAACTTTTATCTTATAGCTAAGACGTTAAGGAAGGGTGATTTTTATAATTTTGGGGTCGGGGTTTTGGAAAAATATGTCAAACCAGGATTCATAAAGATGAACATAAGTAGAAAATTACATATAAAAATTCATCTTAATACCAAATTTATGGTATTTATGCTCAAGGGTTATAGGGTTATTCACGTTAACATTGTTATCCCATCAATCGTTTTTCCCCAGGTCTCTCCTATGTTATTTTTTTGGCCGAAATTCTCGTTCCGTAATTTTCCTCAGGTTCTGTTCCAGGCCCCTGTCCATATATCTTAAGTTCAAATTTTATATTTTTCATTATATCATATAATTAAGGGTTTAGGGACGAATGAATCTATTCTGATAGAAATTCTGTGCTCCAGAACTCCTCAACAAATTATTCGGATTAAGGAAGCTTATAAAAGAAGTTAAAAATTACATTTTCTGGTATTATATAAAGTTAACCACCCTCCAAAAAATATAATGGTAATTTTAAAAACGAAAAGCTTTTGTCAAAAATAAATGAATTTATAATTTAAATAAAAAATGTACAAATTATTTTAGGATTCGGTTAATTTTCTTTCAGGAAATTATATTTTAAAAAGATTCTGGCTAAGTTCATTTCGTGCCCCTACTATTTTTTTTAACTTCATTTGTCTTTTGTAAAATTTTATAATATAACAATTTTATTTTTGAATACATAAATATATATATATTAAGTATATGGAAGGGATCTTGAAAGGGACGTGGCCGGTGATACGTCAGGCGATTTGGAAAAAATATTATTGGCACTTTGTCGAGTAAAATTTTTTTATTATTCTATTTTCATTATTAAACGATTAATCTTTTAAAATTTAAAACACCTATTTCATAATTTTTTTTAAAAAAATTTAATTTTACATGCCCAGTCAATTAAGATTTACATGTTATGGAGATTAAGTTTTGATCGTTGTTTTAGTTATGTTTTATATGGCGTACGAATTCATATTTATGTTATAAAATTTCTGCTAATCAACATGTTGATTATAATTTAAAATTAATGTATAGAGTCAAAGGGATTATTCTAACAGAGTGGACGGAAATAAGGCACAACAAGATGCTCAAGTAAATTTTTTTTTTTAAATTACTGCTTCAAATTTTTTATTATTTTTTATAAACTATAAAAATATCAACATTATTTTGAAAGGGTTTCATAAATAATATAATATATCCTTAAAATTTTTTTCGAAAAAAAAAGTTATGAGAAATAATCACAGTTAAATAAATAATGGGCTATTTTAATATAAAAAAATCTCAAATGTAGTTTATCCACAATTACTACAATAAATTTGAGGCATATATATATAAATTAAAATTTATCCCTTCGTTCTTTCCTTACCAGATATATCCAATTTGTTTGTAGCAAAACATGACTATTTTTTTAGAACGTATTACTTAGTTACATTTTTGTCAATGTTTAGGCTAAACCGAAATGAACCAATGCTCTGACAATAAAATACTATGATAACTATGGTTAATTGAACTAATTATTCGTTTATACATATCTGTACTATTTCAAAATAGTACTTAAATTAGAGTCTCACTTGATAATGTTTAGCCCATCGGATAAAAATAATTGGGGGTGAGTATGTACTTAAATTTCCTTAAAATTTGTCGCAATGTTTTTAAAACCATAATTTCAAATTATAAAAACATTATTAAATGAGCAATCTTCCATAATATATTTTTATTTTTTTTACTATATTCTTAACCATCAATAAATTCAGGTATCCAACAATACTGGACGATAAAATAATAATATAAGTTATTCAATTTACAAATTACAATGACCTCTATTACTAATTACAATGGTATATAATATATTAAACGCGATGAACTTTATATTAAAATAATATTATATGGTTAACCCTAATATATTAAATTACAATAAACCTTTAATATAATATAAAATGATATATAAAATATAGCAACATGTTTGAAACTGGTTCATCCTGAGTTAAGCTGGATTGAAATGAACAAACACAATTTAAAATAGTTGGGAAAAAATATCCCTCTTTTTTTTTAAATGTCCTAACCCAAAAATAGTTCCTTCTAATTTGATATCAACAAATTAAATTCGAAAAAAAATTTAATAACAAGAAAGAGACAATTTGCGCTTTTGGGAACGGCTCCCCAATTTAAAAAAAGACTATATTGATAAAAGATCTCAAAGAGAATTAGAGTGTTTTTTTAATATTATAATGAATGAATAAAGGTGATTGCAGAATTTTTCGTTTAAAAAAAATGAAAAAGTTCGGTCCAAAAAGGAAAAGGTTCAACTGAAAAAAAGAAAAATGCCCTATCAAAAAAGGAAAAAGTCTGATTAAAAGGAAAATTCCGATTCAAAAAAGAAATAATTATTATATTTTTTATAAATTTAAAAATTTAATTTTTATAAAAAAATTATTTTAGTAATCCAGAAATATCATTTTTGGCATTCTTTAATTTTTGGTTATTTTTTATTTTTTGCAATCTCTTTAATTTTATCTCATTTTTTATCATCTTTTCGTATTATTTTTCTATGTCTTTTTCTATAATAAACTTTAATTTTTTTCTTTAAAAAGAATTTCTTTATTTTCAAAATAAATTAGGGCTGAGTTAATTATTAAAAATATATCTATAATTAAAAACTATTATTTGAGTTAAATCAGTATGACATAAAGATCTATGTATAGAAATATAGTGGGATCGGCAAATTTCGATGGATATTTTTTGCCATAGGTAAAACCCCTCCTTTGAATGGTCTGTGATTGTATCTTATAAAATGACAAAAAATATAATTAATAAAGATTTTCCTTTTAAATGAAGCCTTTTCTTAAGAATGGAAAATTATTACAAACAAACATTCAGTATTTCATTTTATAATAATTATACAATACAGAGACTTTTCAAGGCCGGAATAAATAAGTGGGGAACTGATGAGGGTTTGTTTGTGGATATTTTTACTTCCCAAAATCCTTCCCAGCTCAATGCCACCATGCAAGAGTATCAAAGGTTAACACACCAGGATATCGAAACATCTATCAACAGTGAAATGGGAGGAAAATTTAAAAAGGCTTTTTTGACTCTAAGTTTTTTTTTTACAAAACAAATTTCTTCATTAAAAATGTTTGTCGCCTGATTATTATATTGCTAGTTGTTACATCTCGACTAATTTGACAGGATAAACAATTCCTTGCATAATAGAATTGTTCTACATTTGGATCGGCGCACTGATATCGGATTGACAAAAATCATTATTTAAAAAAAAATCGATTTATTTGATAAAATATAACTAAGGAAAATTCCTTAGGGAAAGTTATTTAATCGAACATACATTTATTATTTAATTACATTTGACATACTTTTTCCTATGGTAATGAATGAATCATTGTTAAATTAGCTATATTATGATAATTTTGATATATTCTGAAAGCATACTATTTATAATAGAAAGAAAACAATTTATACTTGTTTTAGGAGGGTCAGACGCATTGAGGGCAGGGTTGCCAGACCTCTCAATTTTGGAATAAACTTATTTTTTTGCTTGATTATGCCAAAATAGTCATTAAATTTATAGAAATTTAAAATATAAAATTCTTATAATTAGTTTAACCAGAAACTTAACGGTCATCTTTTATGTTTTTTAAATCATACATTTAAAAATGCATCTTTATGATTATTTTAGTCTTCTTTTCATTTTTAGAGAAGGAACAAAATATTTAATATTAATTTTAAAACGAAATATGATAAATATCTTATTCTGAAAATGATCCTTATGTGAATGTGAACTAAAATTCAATCTATATACAATGATATTAGATATAGAAGTTTATAGCAATTCTGCATATTTTAATGTTATATTTTTTTTTAATTGCAGTTTTCAAAAAAAAATATATTCAATTTAAAAAATATTAAACCCTACTTTATAAACAATAATTTATCTGTTGATAATATTATATATTCAATATACAAGGCGATATTCATCTATCACACGATAAAATCGCTTAGTTATTCATCTATAGATTGCTTGCAAGCTTATTGTCTATTGCCTTTTTTGATTCAAGAACAAAGGCCTCAAAAATAGTTTTTGATACCATAGACCCTCCACACAAAGTCATATTTTAGAGGATTTTAAGGAAAATAATCCATTTTCTTTATTTATGGAAATACCAAAACATTTCTGATAATTCTGCACTATTCTAATAAAGAAGCTGTAGGTTCAAGTAAATTTCTAAAAAAAATCATCGAACTTAGAGAAAAGGATATTGAATTCATGCTTGGCACAACCTTGGTTTCAAAACAAAAGTTAACAATTTAATTAATATAAAATTTTATAAAAAAAAATGATTTATTTTACCTATTGATTTTTACGATTTTTGTGTTCATATTTTTTATGTAAAATTTAATTTAAATAATTTTAGGAATAATGGTTAATTTCTTTCGCTTTTTGCTGGAAGTATCTTCAACCCAAAGTTAGGAACAAAAGTTCTAATTTATTTACAAGCTATCATATAAGAACAAACATAATTCGGTTTATCATAAATCAGTGAAAAAATACTTGATGAAGTAACATAAAATTAATGTAAACTTTTGTCGGATAAATAAAAAATTTCAAAAGTATTTTTAAGTTTTTTTAATCTGACTGTCATTTAGAATTTATAAAATATGTATTAGTATAATTATGATTATGAATGATATTTATAAAATTAAAAGGAGAGTTGATTGGTTGGTTTAAGGAATATGAATTATCGCCATTTTAGCAGCTTTGAAATGATTCGGGTATATAGTAAAAATATGGGTAGAAAAATCCTTAATTCAGAAGAAATCTGAATAAGCCCTTAATCCTAATACTTTTATCGGGGAATTATCCTTTATATATGAATTTATTTTTAAGGTGTATGTAAATCAAACCTATATAGATATATAGCTAAAGGAAACAATATTCTGAATTTGCTGGCTATAGAATATTCATATAAAAACATTTTTAGTGATTGGAAAGAGGAGAAAATATCAGATTATATGCAAAAATTAAAACATGTAATAAACCAAAAGTCATTTTAACTAATTAAAAAATAAATATAGACCCCAATATAATTTATTTTTAAAATAAAATTTGAAATATTCTATTTACAAAACATCATTGTATTATAATTTTATATTGATTAAGCTTAATGGATTAGTTAAAAAAATCTTTGAAATCACAAAAAAAAATATTTTATCATGAAAGATTTTTCCATAAATATCTCAAAAGATTTATAGGTAAAATTTGGTCAAATATCGCTTCAAAAATGAGATCAGAAATCATTGAAGATTTTTTTTGTAGAACATTCTAAACTCTGGTAAAATAAATTGACATTATTTTGAATCTTATTTACAATAATTATGATTGTAAATTTATGCTTTCGCACTTCATAAATTTGGGTTATCTTATAAGTTTAATTTAAATATGTGACAAAGGCAATCCATTTTAACTAATATTCTATTGTTCATAAAAATAGATTAGTAATTAATTATTATGAGTAACGTATATCCATTAGATTTATGATATTATTTCAAACTAGATTACTTTTATATTCTATTCGATATGGTCATTTATATTTTTAAAAAAATATAACCCCGAATATGAAATATAATTAAAATGGCTGGTAATATTGTTATTTCATGGCTTTATGAAAAGTAAACAATACACATTGATAGATATTCAGAAACCGCTAACTTATCTGGAACAGCTGGTTTTAAAAAACATTAGCATCGATTTATTTTATAGTTTGTAAAAAGAGAGATAAATACAAGCTATAACCCGCTTCAGCATACTATGTAATATAGATGAAAGTGGTGTATATAGTGTACAAATAAGACTAAAATAATTGTCCTAAAAGTTCAAAAACAGGTCACAGCAATGACTTATGAAAAAAGAGCCCTTGTGACCATATCGCTTGACATAAATATCATGCTAGCTTTTCTACATTTCTTTTTTCATGGAAATTTTTTTTAATCATTTATCAGAGACGACGGCCCTAATAGTTATATAGATTTTCCAAGTGAATGTGATAACGGAAATTTATTGATTTACACAATTTTTCAGACCATTTAAGATCTTCTGCAGCACTCGATGATATTGTTATTATGTAAACATATATCGCGCCAGAGGCGATTTATCACTATCCCTGCTTACAAGACACGGAATATAGCCCTTTAGATTGATGCCTGTTTGACTTGCCGGATGATAAAAATTATCCCAGTAAATTACTTACCAATAATAGCAAGAATTTTGCCACTGGTCATAACAATTAAGAATATGTTAAATCTTCAGAAATAATATCCATATATAATCCTGACATCTTTTGGGTAATTTTTTTACCCATCATTTTCTATTGTAATGGTAATTAGTCGTATTCTTAACTTAATAGTGATAATAATTAGGTTTATATTTCAACTCCTATATGATGAGAGCTTGGGAATATATTGGAGCTGACTAACGTGCCTCAGTCTCCCCTACACAAAGAACGTGAGCCTAATATCTTTAAAATGGGTGTACTATACTTCTTATCTAGGTATCATTTCCTCCGTTGATGCTATGATGTCTAAGTAGAAAGCAAATGTAATGTTGTACCGATTTTTTAATATCGGAATGTCTGTTTAAAATTATCAGTTATTTGCTGATCTAATATATTAAAATGACGGATTGAGTTTTTTTGTAAATGTAGTAATTCTTTTTTTTACCTATGCTATAATTAAAAAATCGGATTGGGATCGTGATCGACCTATATCAACTTGATATATTCAAACTCGGATCGACCTCTAAATAGTTATCAGTACACTTCTTATAAAATAATTTAATTCTTTTCCAATATTGAAAGGAAAAGTCCGCCCATCTCTATATATCCTTGAAAATCAGTCCTAATCCTAAAAACGGTCTGTCCTCCATAATGCTTAAGACAAAAAAAGATCGATATTCTTGATATATTAGAAAAATTATGTTATCATTTTAAATCTGATACTTATAAATGAAAATGGTAAATTAAAGATCGCCTAAAGCTTTTTATCATCAATTATCCATAGTTAATAATAAAAAAAATTCCCAAGCGTCCAAGCTGATAATAATTTGAAAAATTTTACCCAAGCCCAGTCTAATATAATTTCTAAAAAAAATTTTCCAAGCCCAGCCCGACCCATTATAATTTTAAAAAAATTTTCAAACCTGACCAACAGATTATTTGGAAATTTTTTCCCAAGCCTGGAGCTTCTAATAAAAAACATATTGATATAATTAAATTACTTTATCAAAATATAGTTTCATATAAGAATTGTATTACCAAATTAAATATAGAAGGGGGCTTAGTTGGAAAGTACGCTTGCCTATGGAACGTTAAATCTGGGGATCGAATCTCGTTGATGTATTAAAAAAATTTCTTTTAAAAAAATAATAATAATTTAACATTAGAAGTATATAGTCTCCTTCGATTTATTAAAGATGATAGGAAAGTTGATAAAAAAAATAAACATTTAGATTATACGAAAACGTTCATTTCTTGATTACGGAGATTATATACATATTTAAATAAAATTATGTTCATATAAAAAAAATGTCGCTAAGCATGCGTTGGGTATTTAAACTTGCATTGAATCTCACTGTCAGAAGAGTTGGTGTTAAGAATCACCTGGTTTTAAATTTCCATTAGGACACGTCTGTTCCAAAAATAAAATGACCGAAAGGACTATTCCCTTTCATACCTTCAAATAATTTTTTAAAAATAGTTTTTCTATATTTCCATTATTTTTTGTTTTAGGAATTCGATTTCTAATATCACTTTTAAAAAATTAACATAAAATTTTAGTCGAATGCCTTAGATATCCCGCATCCTATTTTGCTAAAAGATTGCATGAATCAATTCAAGTTATTTAAATATTATTTTTAAATCAAATATAATTATTACTTTTTTACGAAATTAATCCACTTAGTTAATTCTAATTTATTTAACCCAGAATTATATAATTTTTTCAATCGATTAAAATAATAAATTTATATATTGTTTAGATTAAAAAAATTAATATTTTCCAATACCAATATATATACTTTTTTTAATACCATAATCCTTTTTTTTTTAAAAAATGCTTATTGTTTGCCATGCCAAGGCCCACGCATATCACTCACTTGGAATTTATTGATTTTATATATTTTCCCATGTTTCATAACCTACATAAAGATAATAATTTATCTTTAATTTTCCAAATTTATAAGGATATATTTTTTTTAAACTTATTTTTAAGAGCATATTTTTGCATTTTAACCTTAATTATACCGTAAAGTATATAGGTGCAGTCTTTAAATATTTTTTTTAAATCAAAATAAATTTCGTTTCGACTCAAAATTTTTTTTTAAAAAATTAGCCATTTTGAAAACAAACTTAAAATTTTAGTATCTTCATTTATATATTTTTTTACCACTAGTCTCTGAAGCGTAGCCACGAATTCGCCAAACCAATTTAAACCTTTTTTTGATAGAAAATGGCGATAGAGCTAAATAAATTTGGAATAAAATATAAGTAATAGTGCGCACAGATTGAGCCTTTGTGTTTTGCCGTACTTTTTTAATAAAATTGTCGATTCAAAATTTTTTTAAAAAATAATTGGTTTTGTAAATTATATTATAGTCCTCCTTTTTATTTAATTAATTTCCAAATATTACATTTTAAAAAAAAATTTTGCATTTTTTATAATATTAAATTTAATTTACATATAATTAAACAACTAGGAGCGGGTTTTTAGTGGTTACCTCTTATTACACTTATCTAGGAGTAGACTTTCTTGTAAGAAAAAAGTCGAGTTAGAACGGGTCATAGACCAATGTGAAAATGAATGAATAAAAAGGTATTGAAAAAAAAAACAGTTTGCGTTTTTTAAGATTTAATTTAACCAATTTGCACGATACCATTTGAAATGCATTAGTAGCATTTGACGCTCAACTTGTGCGCACTATAAAAGGAATTTAAATATTTGGTTGGGCATTTTGAAACCACAGACCAAACATAGATCGATTTATGGGCCCATCAAACCCGGGGTAATATGGAGCCGTGGCGGGTTCGACCTCTTTTAGAAAATCGGTTTTCGATTAAGTTTCTGTTATCAAATTTCCCTTAAATAGAGTTTAAAATTCCTGAATCCGAATTCGGGTCCAGAACCATCCTATAAACTCCGTTTTTAGCAATATTTATAATTTCTCTTTATTCGTTTTTTTTGATAATGGTTTGACACTTCACCATGCATTCACAGTTAGCGCGAATTCGCAGTCGAGAATACAAGAATACAGCATATTTTTTACCATTCGCCGTATTCGCGATAACTATGAATGAGAGGTCATTTCAATTTGAAACGGGAACATGTTAGTTACCAATATAATTAACTTAAACCTTTATAGTGATTTGCTTCCATCAATTTTATGTTTTATAAATAATACCCTTAAAAACAAAGTCTAAGGCCACGTCCTAAGTTAATTTAATTTTTCTTTTTAATTATTAATTCTATACAGAACAGCAAGCCTGGAATTTTTTTTTAATTATAGATTTTGACATAGTGCGCCTACTTCTATTTTATTAATTCTAAAAGAACTAGGACAGCGCCTAATAATATATTTTTTTATTTAAAAAAAATTTTTTAAATAGGGCTTTGGAACGAAAGACGAGGATTTAATCCGCATAATTGTGTCTCGATCCGAAGTAGATTTAGCGCAAATTAGGCAAGATTTTCGGAGAATATACAATAAATGCTTGGAGACATTTATAAAGGTCGACGTTTTTGCTAATTAGTCTGGGAACTCTGCTATTTTATTTAAATATATTAAATTCGTTTTTATTTATATTAACAGGATGACACCAGTGGCGATTATGAAAAAATTTTATTAGCTCTCGTTGTTGGGAACTAGGAAGAAAATTTTTTCATTCAATTCCAATCAAAATTATTTATACAATTCCTTTTTTTAATAAACCATTAATCCTAATGGGTGTGATTACTTTTTATAATTTCAATCTGGAAAAAAACACTTTATTATTGATTTGAAGGCAAAAAATAATTTTTCAAACATCTTATAAAATAAACACGCGAATTTGTGCCATTTTAATATATAATAAAATATTAAATTACATAATAAATAAGTTCAATATAAAAATAAAGGTAAGAAAATGTAATAATTTAAAATAAAGGTGTTTTCATGATTTGTTAAAAAAAATATATATATATAATTTTGAAAATTAGAACTTAAATGAAAAAAAGGAAGATATTAAATATTTTTGGGAGAATTTTGTTTTTCATCGGATGAAGTATAAATGCGATATTTTCTATTGAGTTTGAATATGCTAATTCCAATAATCAATAATTATTTAAAACTTTGCCTTGATATACGAACGTTTTTGTTTTCAAGATTACCCGACAATTAAAACGATTATTTTAAATTTTAGAAAGAATTCTTTAAAAAATTATATATATACATGTTTTTTTAAAGGTTGAAAATAATATTTTAAAATATTTATTATTTAATTTGCATGTGTCAAATTTTTTTTTAAAAAAAATATTTTTTGAAATTCAATAAAAGTCAAATTTAAAAAAACTTAGGGGAAATAAAGGATAAAAAATATTTCAGATTTTCTTCTTCTCAATATATATGTTAAATCACATAATTGCTTTTAAATTAGTTTAAAATGTAAAGGTGATTGAAGTATGTAAAAATATTTATAAATTTGAATTGATTTAAAATATATATTCATTTAAAAAAATATGATAATTTTTTTCAAAAAAATAATGTCCTAGAACATATAAAAATGGCAAAAAATGAGAAGGTTATCGCCCATTTTATACGAGTGGAAGGAGCCGAATTACAATGGTCCGTTTTACAAGAGCACACGTTTATGTAAGCTTTTCCTGTAGGTGTTTGGCGGACTATGTCAACACATTTCATGTCCCTTAACTGTAAAAAAAGATATATCGATAAATATTTCGCCACTAGCCTTGAAAGTCTGTCGAATAAAAGAGGCCAATATCGGGTTTAAATAAAATATAAAATAATACTTTTATCTTCTCTTATTCAAAATAACATGATAATTTCTCTATGGGTTAGGACAAATAAATAGTTATTTGATTTAACTTTTATAAAATTGTCTTTAATTCATGCTTTAATTTTGGGAGGGTTGGGGTCTAAAAATCAGCCGTCTAAAAAATGAATTTGCAAAGTTCTAAAAATAATGTGGTGGCCATTAGAGGTCTGCAAATGGCAAAATTTTTAGGCCTGGCTCAGCGAGAAATTAATTCTTGCCCGGCCCGGTTCCAATTTTTTTTACTAAAGGTTGTCTGCCCGGTTTTTAATTATTCTTTAAATACAAAGCCTAACCCGAAATAAATATTGTTTAACACCAAAATAAACAGCCAGGTTTTGCAGACCCCTCGTAAATATATCTAACAAATTTAATGTAATAAATCTATTGGAATATTCGACTACAATAATGTTCTTAATGATCTTTTAAAAACTAAGATAGCATACAAATTGGCTTTAGATTTTGATTATAAAAACTAATCATTTTAAAAAGTGGGGAATTTATTTTAAAAAGGTAAAACATTCAATGAAAATACGGTAGGGTTCGGAAAAAAATATTTTTTGAATGTTCAGTAAAATCGAGAACAAAAGATAAACCAAAAATTTTTTGATTTTTTTTTTTTAAATTTGATTTTTTAGTCCTAACTTTAGTGTGAAAAGAAGCAATCATGAACATTGTCATAAAACAAGATATTTAGTAATATTCACGGATCCAGATTATTTTTTGAAAAAAGTGGCCGGAGTAAAGCAGTGGCGTAACTAGCTGAGGGCGTGCCCGATTCCCCTTTCCCCCCCCAAAAAAAATTGTATTTTATTTATTAAAAGTTCAATTTTTTAACGTATAAATTTTGTCTTTTTTTAATAATTGATTTTAGCCTGCATTATTCATATTTTATTTAAAATATATGGTTATATTTGCAAATATCTATTCTGAGGGTAAAAATTATTACCATACCAATTTTTAGCTTATATAATATAGGGCTAACAGCTAGTGTTGTTAAACCATTCGATTTGAGCCAAAAATTAAAAGAGGCTAATTCAATATTTCACCAAAAAAATATTTAAGCTTCAAGGTTTCGCTAATAAGTGCCCAAACCTTTATGCCATGTGGTCAGCTCTTTTTGAAAATTGACTCAAATCGAACCGTTTAACAATGCTAGAAACAACTGTAAAAGTCTATTTACAGAGATGGGTGAATAAGTAAAAAGAGCTATATTTGAAAATTAGCTTTGCAATACTATTAAAAGCATAATTATATATAAAGTTTTCATTGCTCTGACTTGTGCTTTTCCTTTTATTCCAGGCCTTAGCAAAAAAATATATCCTTCATCAGCACTGTGCAGCCAAATTTTTAATAACCAGCTTGCTAAAAATAATCCTAAATTTTAATTCACCGCTCATATTTTTTTTTCAAATATAAATTTCCACTTTATTGTTCGTTCGTATATCTTGTACTAAAATTACATATTTTTGTAATATTCAAACATTATAAATTTAATCTAACATTCCAAATATTCATTATTACATTCATATTTTAAATTGTTTTTATTTAATTCCTGTCTGTGGTGACCTTATGATCATTTATCCAATATATAACAAATATGAGGCATCCCAAGGATTTATCTATCAAACGTAATATATTTAAATTTTCCAGATGCTTTATGGTTAATCTTATCTGCAATTTCATCCTTCAATCTAACATTCTTTCTGATCGCATTAATAATAATTGTATTTGTGATTTCCTTAACTTTTCGATGGCGTATGGAGTGAAAAGTCACAAGATTAGATAAAATTATCTAAAAATTACGGAAGATATTTGGATCTATATAATTTTAATATACTAAATTTGTTCTTATGACATGAGTAAATTAGTTATTGGTTCATATAAATAAAAAAGTTTTATATTATGATTAAAAAACATTTTGGTGACAACTAAAAAATAAATTATGTATCAGAATCAGTTGAAGAATCTAGATTACATCTCAATTTTAATCTAATTATATTTAAATCATTTTTTTAGAGTAGAGCTCTTCAAATCAGTATGAACAAAGTTACAAGGTCTTCCCCATTAGCCGGAGACACTTGCAATTTTTTCCTTGGCACCAAACTAATTACCACAAATTTCAAAAAATTTTAACATGAAATGATAAATAATATTTTTTAGAAACAATATCTGTTTTAATAATAAAAAAAAAATATCGATGTATCCTCCTGTGAAGAGATTTCAGAACCCTCTAAAATTTTCGCCAGTCTTTTTCAATTTAAACAAAAATTTATAAGCACGTCATAAATGTTTTAATTAGTAATAAAACAAAAATTTAGCATTTTGGATTTTGAGATAATGGGTATTTAAGGTTTGAAAATCGACCTTATTACCCTCTCTTGTTAAATAATTCATGGCCATTTTATGGTCGAGTTGAAAGCTTAAAATTTATTTTTCAAAATGGCGTTGCAATTTTTCTTTCCTACTGATCGTTCACTATTTTTCAAAATTTCTTCAGTAATTAGTGTGGCTAGGTAATTTCCTCAAACAATATTGCAATTAGTGTATAAAAAAATATAGATGACAGTATATATGAAACTTTTAATAAATAGATGACACTATATATGAAACTTTTAATAAATAAAAGACTCTCTATTGTTTAAAGTAATAACAATAATTTTTATACCTTAAATTCCAATTATCTCATGTAATATAATTGCTAACAAACTAAAATTACGTTTTAATCTAACAAGAACATATAAAATGTGGCCTACAATTTTTTTTTATTGAAATTGAAAGTGGTGGGTTGTGAGGTTCAATATGACATGGATGGCGATTAATCTAAAGGGGTGCAAGGAAAATCTGTTAAGTGAAGCCAAATTAATTTTTTCCTGATTTATTAATTGTTGATGTATCTTTTTCAAAAAACCTAAAGACTAGGGGTGATAGTTTTTGGCAAAAACTGTGTTGGAAATATTATTTAATTATACTGAAAATTAAAGAAAAAATTGCATTATAAAATTTTAAATTTGAATAAATATTATCAATATATCATTACACTTTTTTTAAAAAAAAAGCCAATATGTGGGAAAATAACATTTAAACAAACAATTTTTGTTATTTTTTAAATATAACAAAATGTAAAAAAAAAGACTAACCAATATCATTAGAAGTAAGACAAAAGCACAAAAAACATCTTAACTAGGAAGCATAAGTAATAAAATGGGACTGCTTTTGTTAAGTATAAGAAAGTAGCAACTATGTGAATATTAAAAAGGGGTTAAATAAACTCCATCTCTTCACACTGCCAAAAGTTGACATCACAAAATTTTTCTCCTGCGATAAATTTGACCTGATAACCCTGAGCATAAAACAGAGTTTGGACCTAAAAAAATTTGGGGCAGCTTATTAAAAATATAATAGAAATGCTATTTCTAAAACATGAAAAAATTTAGTTCAATTACTTTATCAAAAACATGAAATAAGTTTTAATATAAAAAATAAACAAAACATATCTTAAATTTTTAACATTTTAAATGTAAAAGAAGTTTGTTGATATTCATAAATCTCATTAAAATATTTATAAATAACCTCCAATTTTGCCTCTTCACTTCTAGCATCTTGATAAATTGTTGGCATCTTATTATCTTTATTAATCTCAGGGGTAAACAGCAAAGCTATATAGGTAGGATCAAAGCATTTTCTTTCAAAATAAGTATCATTTCTATATTTATCTTTCCATAAAATAAAAATAGAGAGATAAAATTATATTATACATCCCCAATGATATGTAGTTTTCAGGCAAACTCCTGTAGAACATTTTTTAATTAAGGACTTAGACACAGAATTTTTTGTTATAAAAGGATCTTTACAACATGATTCAAAATTCTGACAACCAGGATCTATAGATGAACTCGATTTTGCACTTGACGCACATTCATAACAATATATATCTTTGGAAGCGAAAATCGATTCTAAATAAAATACTATTAAATGAAAAAAAATATTAAGCATACTAGGTATGAATAAAATAAAAAATACACATAATAAAGATGTTGCCATATGGTTATGATTTAAAATTTCACATCAACCAGAATATACTGCTCCTAATATAATATGGAAATGATATGATAGGTCACATTTGACATTAATCAATCAATGACATCAATTTCCCGAATACAATTTTTTTTTAAGAAATAGATATTAATTTAAATGAGCAGATTCCCTTTTTTGCTCTAACGCCAATCTTAGACTTTTTCTTATAGAGGCTTGATAGTGGAAACTATTTTTTGGCCTTGGAAATATAAAAAGGTGTTAACATAAATCATTATATTTTCTGAAGGAATAAATTATATGAGATTAATGACCTTTAATTTCATAATTCCTCTAAATATTATTTTTTAAGAACTTGAATATCTATCTATTTTCATTTACTATAACTTCTTAAAAATTTACCTTCTCCTTAATAATGTTGTTAAAAAGACTGATTTATGTCGATTTTAAAAAATGACCCTATGATTTTGGTAAAAAATAATATTATGTAAACCTTGATATTTCGTTGTTAGATCTTCAAATCTTTTTTCTACTATCTATGAACAAAATCTCCAACCTTATATAATATTATTTTGACTAGAAACGTAATCAAGCCATTTTAAAATTCGTGCTCTAACAACATTATTCCTTAAGCTGTCACAAAAAAAGGCTTGCCCTGGTAACATGTAGAATCATTCATGATTTTTCATAATTCCACTATTGTTTCTCTGTTCTATAATTTTCAGTCGGAATACCTTCATCATGCTGTTAAAGATTATAATAATCCTGCGGATATTTATGGTATAGATATTAAATAGCCATATTTCATATAATTTTTATTCAATATTAATAAATTATTAACATTTATGATCCTGAATTATTATTAATTTTTTATTTTATATTCCATACTTTATTTTACTTTATTTAAACATTTTAGTTATATTTTTCTTTTTTCTATCAGTATGTGTACGTATAAATATTTATTATTTATTTAATTTTATATTTATTATTTAAGTAGGTATTCAAAACTAAATATTTCTTGTAAGTTACTATATTTCATTTTACTTTATATTATTTATTCTAAAAATGTAGGGATCGAAATAGACTTTCTGTATATATATTCATCATCATAATAGCACATGATCAATAATCATAAGTACATGAGGAGTAATAAATAATAATAAAATAATAATCAAGTTAAGCAAAATGAAAATGAAATGTTCTTTGTTTAAGATTAAATTTAACTTAAGTGAAAAATAATAAAAAAATGTAAAATTTTACGCGATAAAATATAAACAAAACTAAAATAATTTAAATCATACCCTAAGGCATAAAACTAAAATATATTTATATATAACAATTTAAGAAGGCATTTAAAACTAAATAATTATTATAAGTTTTTTTAAATATTTTAATTTACTTTTAAGAATAGTTTGAACCAAAATACTTGAAGTAAAGCCATCATTTGTTTTACTTGATATTCCATTTATATTTTTTGATTTCTTATTTTCTTTTTATATATAAGGAGATGATTTTGTATAGTTGTGATAATTATAATATTTTGAAGAAGAATAAATAAATTTTTCATTGGCCTAGTGCAACCTCAAATATTAAAAATATCATTCGAAGATAGTTCTTTATATTTCGTAAAATTATATTGGGGATTTTGATAAGCTCTGCAACTTTAGGTAATATATTTTTATATTCAAAGGATAGTACAAGTGGCCCAAAATTTAATTTAAAATATAAAATTATTTTAAAAAATTTTTCAAAATGAAATTCTAATACAATATTTAATCCTAAAAAAACAATTAATTAGTTAACAAAAAAGATTATCCGTTAAAAACGGGAGATTGTTATATAATAAATATACAAATTTGTACTTGTATTTTATTTTTTCTTTCGACTTACAATTCAACCTTTTATGATTTAACCTTTTACGATTTAACTTTTTACAATTCAATCTTTTATAACTTTTTATAACTTTTGTTTTTCGTTTTGATTATATGTATTCTAATTTATATTTTTAAGATAATATATATATAGTGTGTAGAACATAATAAAAAAAGAATAGATACATATAGAATATAATATATATTTTATTGGTAACACCAGCCACCTTTACAGACTCCATACCCCAATTAGCAAGGAAAAAATGCCATTCTTTTTCTTGTTCATACGTCAAAAACAAATTTATAATTTTACGAAGATATTAATTATGAGTTAATAACGAATTGAAATCTTTATATGCGAATATCATTCTTCATGTATTTTATTTCCACAAAATAAATGATTTTTGAATATATGATTTCTATCATTATTATAAAAAAATATATATATTCAATAAAACCTTAATTACTGGGATGACAAATTACTTGATAAAATATTATTTGATAATGAGAAAATTTTAATTTGATTATTAATTAACAGATAAGTTGAATCAAGCGCGTACACAGGAATTTGTTGGGGGGGGGGGGGGGAATTAAATTTTGATAAAATTATTATTATTTAAAAATATCAAGCATAAATTGATTAGGACTAATAACTATTTCTAATATACAATTTTAAATTTATGTGAATTAAAAAAAATTTAATATATAAACCGGTATATAAAATCTACAAAATAAATGTGAATTAAAAAATATTAAACGGATATAACCAGTGGCCTATGATAAACTATAAAAAATAAATGTGAAATATAAAATATTAATTGAATATAACCAGCATATGAATCACTATAAATGACCCAAAATAGAAATTTAAATTTATTGAGCCTTTAAAATTTGTATATTGATAAACAGAGGGAAGGCAGGTATTAAAAAAGTAGAAAAAGTTTAATTTATTTTATTAATTTTATTATTTCAAAAAATACAACTGATAAACTTACAATTTTTACAGCTATTTATACACATTATATTTACATGTTAACGTTAATATAAAGAAAAGATTTTTACAAAAAGTAAAAGTAAAAATATTCAAATTATAGGTTGTCAAAAATAAAGAAATGTTTTTTACAAAAGGTCATAAGTCACAAAGTAAAAGTATACAAATTATATATTAAATTATATATTAACAACATTTCCCCCTTTTTCTTTTTTTATGTCTTCTTTCCTCAGTTTCTTATCTTCACTTCCAGTCATTCGTTTCTCAATTGCTACATTAGTCATTTGTTCGTATATCTTTAGATTGTTTGTTTGACCAGTTGAATCGATTATCGAACATCATGAAACATCGTTGGTTGTACATCATTGTTAGTTGAACATTGTTTGTTGATTTGCTATTTGTATTGATCATCCCATTTCTCTTTCAAAAATTTATATATATATATTTTTATTATAAAATTTTATAACAATCAATTTCTATGTCGTAGGTCATATTCTCGCTTTTGAACTTGACTTTGAATTTTCGAATTTTGAACTTGAACTTGACTTTGAATTTTCGAATTTTGAACTTGAGCTTGTTCACTTCTTCCCCCTCCAAAAATTTTTTCAGTATTATTTATTGATGCTCTCTTTTTTATTTGATCCAAATGTCTTGTCTATTCTGTATGTCAAGTTGCCTTCTTTTTGTACTACTACTCCTTTATCCCAAATATTTTCTTTAAACGTCTTGTACCAAATCTTGTCTCCTAATTCTATTTCTCTATTCTTTGATATTTTTCTTCTTAGTATATTCTCGTTATCTTCCACAGGTTTGATTAAGTCCCATTTGGTCCTGATCGTTCTTGAAAACATTACTTTACTGGGCATCATATTCGTTGTATCATTCGGCGTATTTCTATAATTAAACAAAAATTTCTCTAAAGCTACATCCAAGTCTATGTTCGTGTTGCTTTCCATATTTCTTTTAAGACTCATTTTCATAGTTTTTATCATCCGTCCACATTGACCATTCGATTGTTGATGATGAGGTGCTGTAAGTATGTGTTTTATGCCATAATCTTCACAAAACTTTTTAAATAATTGACTAGTAAAATTCGTACCATTGTCCGTCACGATTTTGTGTGGTATTCCGAATAAGCTTATAATTTTTATCAATTCTTTTAAAGTTGATTCCGTCGTAATATTTTTCGGAAATTTGCTATACGCATCCAAAAATACCATTAAATTGTTGTCTTCAAATTGTGCAAAATTTATATGTACACGTTCAAAAATCTTTGATGCTGGTTCCCATGGATTTTGTATTTTGTGAGGGTTATCCGCATATCTATTACATAAATCACATTTTTTTACCTCTAGATCTATCTCCGTGTTTATACCACGCCACCACAAATAATCTCTCGCCAACATTTTCGTTTTACCTGCACCTAAATGTCCTTTATGTAGTTCGCGTAAAATCTCTTTTCTCATGTTCAGCGGTATTATTATTCTGTTTTCTTTAAATAGACAATGTTTTATCTAACTCAATTCCATTTCCATGTTTCTGTATGTTTTGTTCTTTATTGGTTCATTATTTCTAATATTATCAATTATATCCATTAGTTCTTTATCCTTCTTTGTTTCTTTAACTAATTGATTGAAGTTTATTGGTATGTCCCATAATTTGTCAATTTTTTTATCATCTATATTCTTTATTGTATTTTCTGTATTTGTCTATAGTAATCTTGATAAACAATCAGGCACCAAGTTTTGTTTCCCCGGTCTATGTATTATTGTATAATCATAAGCTCCCATTGCTAAATTCCATTTCTGTAAACGCATTGATATTGGAGTATTATATTTGAGTGTTTTTGAAAACAAATATATTAGTGGTTTGTGATCTGTTATTATCATAAATTTTGTCCCAATTAAATATTCCTGAAATTTGTTTACCGCAAATATTATAGACAAAGTTTCTCTCTCGATATTTGTATAATTTGTTTCAGCTTTTAACAAAGTTCTAGATGCGAATGCAATAGGTTTTTCTTTACCATCACCTTCCATGTGAAATAATACTGCACCTAATCCTTTTTTCGAAGCGTCAGTAGCAATTCCTATAGGCAATTCAGGATTGTAAAAATTTAAAGTCGGCGGACTGCTAATCAACGCTTTCAAATCATCAAAACTCTTTTGGTGCACATCTTCCCATATCCATTTTTCCTAT